AGGCTATACTTGGGTCCTAAACAACAGAGTGAGGGCTATAAACTGTCTGAGTGGTCTTCTCTGGTGCCCTCCCAATAAAACATTAATGAAAATAGGCAAAGTTGAAGCCTCTTATAAAAAACATGTTTAAAAAAAAATTTATATACATATGGAAAAGTTGGATCCACACTTCTGTGTCCTCACCTAGATTCAAAATTGTCAACAATGTGTGTGTCAAATCCTATTTTTCTGTATATATTAGTATTATTGGGCTGTACCATCAAGGATACTTTTTAGAGCCTGGCAGTGGCGTCACACACTTTTAATCTAACCAGCACTCAGGTGGATCTCTGTAAGTTTGAGGCCAGCCTGGTAACAGAGATAGTTCCAAGACCACCAGTATGGGTTCACAGAGAAACCTTGTATAAAAAAAGTTAGGTATGTGTGTAGTAGTGTATTTCTGAATCTCAGTACTTGGAATGCTGAGGCAGAATGATCAAGATTTGAAGACAACTTTAGCTACATAGTGACATCGGTTCAACTTTGGCTGTCTAGAGACCCTTTCTCAAAAAAAAAAAAAAAAAAAGTTGTAGACATGTCATTTCATCCCTTACCACAGCACCTAAGGTGGTATGTTATCTATACTAAAGAACCATATTATTATTTTTAAAATATTTTTATTTCATGTGCACTGGAGCTCTGCTTTCATGTATGTCTGTGTGATTATGTCAGACATGTGTCAACCGTGAGCTGCCATGTGGGTGCTGGGAATTGAACCAGGGTCCTCTGGAAGAGCAGTGGGTGTTCTTAACTGCTGAGCCATCTCTCCAGCCCCATATTATTCTTAAGGAATTGAGCCAGATACTCTTTTTTGGGCAGGCACTCCTTGCCCAACCACAGGCTGTGCTTGCTGGAAGACTAGGTAAGGCAGCTGCCCCATGGATCTTCACCACGTTCTCAGTCTCCTTGAGTAGACTCCACCTGCCCAACCACAGGTCATGCCTGCCAGAAGACCTTCCCCACTCTCTAGCTCCCAACAGACCAATTCTCTGTCCCCTGCCCCCATTTCTATGTCCCAGTCCCCAGCTCTAGCAGACAACCCCTGCCCATGCCTCCTAGAAGACCAGGTAGGCTGCCTGCCCATGGATTTCCTCCACTCTCAGGGAACCTACTTAGGAATTTATACCCAAGGCCTTCCCCCTCTGCTGCCATATCCCGGCCTCCAACTGAGGTGGAGACTCTCTGCTTGGACCAGATGACACATGGACCATCAGAAATCCACATAGGCCACCCACCCACAGACCTCCCACATTCTCTTGGTGCTCCACCCCAAGCACTGTCCCCCAGTGCTCCCTTCCTTCCGTGTCTCTGTGCGTCGGCCTCCAAATTGGGCAGAGACTCCCTACTGCATCAGAGGCTGCCTAGGCTGCCAGAACTCCAGGTAGCCTTCCCTACCTGCAGAGTTCCTCCACTCTCGTTGCAACCCCCACTATCCCCAACAACCCTCCCCTTCTTGTCACTGCATCTATGTCCCCAACTTGGGCCAAGACCCCTTGCTCAACAACATTAGTAAAGAGAAGGCCAGAGAAGAAACGAACCAAAGAATAAAAGCACCCACCCAGCAAATGCAGACCCAGAACTGGGACATAGAGCTATAATAAAGCCAAACCCAGATGCCTATGCCAGCAATAAAAACACAATAACCTGGGCAATGTCACCACCACCCTACTACAGCAAGCCCTGGATAGTCCAACACAGCTGAAGCGCAAAAAGGCCTTAAATCCAAAATCGTGACGATGATGGAGGCTCTAAAAGTGAATAGATCCCTTAAAGAAACAGTTGAAGGAAATAGGAAAATAAAGCTGTTGAAGATCTGAGACTAGAAAGAGAAGCCATAAGAAAAGGCAACGTGAGGGAATTCTGGAAATTGGAAATCTAGGTAAAGGCACTGGAACTGCAGATGTAAACATCAGCAGAATACAAGAGATGCAGGAGAATCTCAGGCATTGAAATATGGCAGAAGTAATAGATACACTGCTCAAAGAAAATATTAACTCTAAAAAGTTCCTGACCCAAAAATCCAGGATTCTGGCATACTATGAAAAAAAAAAAAAGAATAATAGAAATAGCTGGGGGGTGGCGGCGCACATCTTTAATCCCAGAACTTGGGAGTCTGAGATGAGCCGATCTCTGAGAGTTTGAAATCAGCCTGATCAACAAGAGCCAGTTCCAGGACAGGCTCCAAAGCTACACAGGGAAATTCTGTCTCAAACAAACAAGCAAACAAAAAACATAAAACAAACAAAAATAAAAGAGTAGTAGAAATAGATGAAGGAGAAGAATCAAAGGCCCAGAAAATATTTTCAAGAAAATCATAGAAGAAAATTTTCCTAGCCTAAATGAGGGAGTTAGCTATAAAAGTATAAGAGGCGTATTGAACACCACATGGCTTGGACCTGAAAAGAAAGTCCCCTTGTCCCATAATAATCAAAATACAAATCATTCAGAACAAAGAATATTAAAGAACTGCAAGGGAGGAGAAATCACAAGTAGCATGTAAAGGTAGAACTGTTAGAATTACACCAACTTTTCAGTGGAGACTCGAAAATCTATAAGGGCGGAGTTCTCCTGCAGGTTCTAAGAGACCACAGGTAACAGCCCAGGCTATATTATCCAGGAAACAATTCAGAGTTTTAAGGTATTTGGAAACTTGTCATTGGCCTTCAAATTGTGTTTTTTTACGAATGTATGTAAAAACCTAAGGAAGATCTAATACAGATATTGATTCAGCAGATGAAGTATGAACAGTGGCCCTCAGCTCCCATCACAATGTCTTGCTTTTGCTGTGATAGGGTGAACCCTAGAACCCAGAGCAAAACCAAAATTTTCTTCCTTCTGTTCCCCCCCCCCCCGCAGCTATTTTGTGCTATGAGAAAGAGAATTAATGTGCTGGGTTGTGGTACATTCCTTTTATCCCAGCACCTGAGAGGCAGAGGCAGGCAAATCTATGACAGTTTCAGGCCAGCCTGGTCTACAGAGCAAGTGCCATGACAGCCAAGATTACACAGAGAAACCCAGTCTTCAGGAGAGAGAGAGAGAGAGAGAGAATGATTTTTACTTCAATTCCACCTATCAAACATGTTGCTTATGACCTTGATTCCTTTAAATTTATTGAGACTTGTTTCATGGCTCAAAATATAGCTATGTCTGCATGTAAGAATTCTCTTGTTATTGGGAAGAGTGTTGCATAAATACGAGACCCAGTAGGTTGTGTTGACTCTATTAAAACCGAGAGAGTAGATGTCTTAAAATAATGCAGGGATGATCAGAGGACTGCAATATGGAAGATGTGTAATAGAGCATCCACTAATTCAGGGAGGTCAAGAAAGGGAAGGGTTTGTAGGGGTGATGTGTGAAGGTCAGACAGTTGCTGTGAAACATCCTTGGCTACAAGAAGCAGTGACAAAATGACATCAGTCTGTGTAGTTCAAGAGAAACTTAACCAACAGATGTACTCACAGAAATATCTTTTGTGTATAAGGTCATATAGTGGGACTTGCACACTTCAATGGTCTTTAAATGAGTATAGGGACCATTTCTACCACAGCTGTGTGTGCATGAAAGCCCTCCTTTCAAGGTCCCTTGGTTCCATTACGGTTTAACTGTCTCCATTTTGATTCTGACAGTATTCACAGATAAGCTGACCAATTCGACTGTGCTCTGTGGCATTTCTGGTTTTATTCTATCAGTTATTGAGATTGTAAACATTTGAATTTGATCATGGATGTGGCTGCCATTCCTTATTAGTATAGCAGGTATAAATATCCGCCCTTTATATTTTGAAGCTGTACTACTAGGAGTATACTATAGGTTTATTTTCATGTTTAGACAGGATTTCACTATATAGTCCTAGCTGGCCTCAAACTAGCTGGTCTCCAGCTCACAGACATTCCGCTCTCTGCCTGGGTGTTGCTGGGAATAAGAGTCATGTGCTACCACCCCCAACCAAGTTTGTTTTTTTCTTCTTTCCAGTGAATGAATTGCTGTTGATACCTTGGTGGGTTGTTTCATGGCCCTCAGCTGCAGCAAAGAACAACTGTCCTTGTTATTTTCACTGGCAATGTTTTATCCCCCCTCCCCCATCTGCCTCCATTTTAAAGATTGGGAAGATGTTCGCTTTCATCTGCTAGAGTACACATCTTTAGAACATATCTTCTGTAGTTGACATATGGTTGGATCTGCTTGTTTTCAAACCTAACCTGACGATCTATACTGTAACTTTAGGTTTAATATGATTAGTGCTATTACTTAGGATCATCTACTATCTTGATTTTCCTATCCTGATCGGAATGAAAAAGTTTTGTGTAAATATATGAAACAACACAAGTGATTTTTCAATTTCAGGAGTGTCATGTTACAACAAAAGCAGGCTTTTGCTACAAAAGGGAAGCATATGTTTGTGTTTGTTTAGGATACATTAACGTGAAATCGTTCATTTTGGCCACAGTTCTGTTGGTACATATCCATGTAACCCTCAGTCACACTTTCCCAGATAACAGGGACAGCGAACCCTGGAAAGGTCCAGCACACCTGGCTTCTGAAATCTCTGATGTAACCTGCCCTTCCTCTCCACGTTTAAAACCAACCAATTCTTTCAGTTCCGTCTTTTCAAATTCATCACAGTGCCGCCCATCGCACAGCGAGGTGGGATCCTTCTGCAGGGATCTCAGGCAAAGCGTAGTCAAAGCAGTTCTGTCCCGATCTGATCTTATCCCAGTTCTGCATTTTAAACTAAAGCTCGACAGTACACTCATAGGAGAGAAAATTAATCGCTGCAGAACCCGGAAGTACCTTTTGCTCACAAGAGGGCGCCTCCCCTTTAAGCCCCCGCCCCCGTGGGAACTCCCACAAACCACCGGGCGCAGTTCCCGGAAGTGCTGGCCCAAGTTGCATGCTGGGATCTCGCTGAACCGCAGAGCTCTAGGCTACCTGGAGTTCTGAACTCGGGGACTATATTTCCCAGGAGCCACCGCGCTGGATTAAAACATCAACTTCCGGTGTCCTGGCGGCGCTCCCGCAGACGGTCAGAGCTCTCTGGTGGGAGTAAGAAATTGCTAATTGGTGTAATTCTTCACTGAGTAAGGCGGGAGCCCGCGGGCTGGGTGTGGACGGTGATGTGTGTGTGTGTGTGTGAGTGTGTGAGTGTGCAAGGACGGTGGTGTGTGTGTGCGTGCGCGTGTGTGTGTGCCTGTGTGTGTGCGCGCGTGAGTGTGCACGCGCGTCTCGAGCTCTGATCGTCGGTGTCACTGTGCTGTCGCTTTCTGCTCCTGCTCTCTCTCACGGTCACAGGGCAGAGGACCAGGCTTCAGGAACCAGAGGTCAGGGACGCAGTCTGAGGGCAGCTGTCCCTGGGGTCCAGGCTTGAGCTTGGGACGCCCAGGGCCGCCTAGGAGGGCAGCTACTTGTTGAGTCCATCATTTCTCAGAGCTGGAGCCATCGCGAGTGTCGTGGGAAGTGAAGGAAGTGCTCGCTAGGCTGTGTAGTCTGGGAACCCATGCTGGCTCAGGCTCCCCGAGTCTGCCATTGTTCAAAAGGAGGGCCTGGAGAAGAATGCGAACATTATTGCCACACATGTAAGATTCAAGTGTGAGTTTGCTCTTCATTGTGTTTGAGAAATGAGGTTTAGTTGTGGAATATAGAATTGTCAGTAAGTGAGCATAGAATGTGTAAGTCCATCCCTCCACTATTGTGCTTGCATTGTCCACTCCTTTTCCACTGAATATTCATATTATCATTTCCGAGCATCTCTCCACAATCACTCCCTTTCCCCAAGATGTTATACTTAGTAACTTCCAGAGGTTAGCATTAGGGCTTTCAAACTGCGATTTGCTAAATCAATTGCTATTTTGATGGTGCCGTATATCGAGTGATCTTTGATCATTAAAGGCCTTCTTTGCAAAGCAGGGGAAGCATAGAGATTGTAGGCAATTTCTGTTCACTTTTGAGCATTTCCTGAGTGGGAAAGTGATAGCACAATTTGAGAGCTAGTAATTTTCAGAGTGTCTGTGTGTGGAAATAGGTAGTATTGGCCAGAGCCAGATGTGCAGTGCTGTGGTTAGAAAAAAGTGGAGATGTGGCATCTTGTTTGGGTTTTGGTTCTGTCCCTTTCTGGCTCTGTATTCTTGTCATGAACCTTAGAACGACAGTTGTAAAGCCTGTTAGTGCAGTGCCAGCCATACAATAACAGCCTGGTCTGTTTTAGTTGTTGCTTTTGTGGTCTTTTTTTTTTTTTTTTTTTTTTTTTTGGTTCTTTCTCTTCAATTTTATGTAGTACAAGGGAATGTTAGAAATAATGTGGTTACTGGCTGTATTTTTAAGAAAATGACTCAAGAAAAGAAGAAGGTAGGATTTATGGTATACATTTTAATATCCCCACTTGAGAGACAAAAACAGGCAGATTACTATATGTTCATAGTCAGCTTAGTCCTCATAGCAAGTTCTAGAATAGCTGGGGAACACAGTGAGACCCCCATCTTAGAACAGCAAAATGAAAATGAATATAGTAATGTAGAAGAAAATTTCTTTAATGTTGAGATGAAATTTCCTGAATTGTGTACAGCATAATATTTTGGAGTCTTTATGTCCTTTTTCATGACTTAATCTGCCTGTCATATTTTTATAGAGAGCAGACTTAATGCCTACTCTCTGAATCTTTCCAAAAACCATTAATCGTCGTCACCGAGTTGCATGATGTATCTGGAACTTGTGTTGGGTAGCTGAAATTTTGTCATCCTTGATCAGCATCTTCCCAAGTCCCTTATGGATGGACCCCTATTACCCACTATGTTGTTTGTTCCTATGAGATAACATTTTCAGGTTCTGTATGAATGAAATCGTGAGTGTTTATGTTTTGGTTTAAAGATTATTTCATTCAAAATTATGTGTGGGTGTTTATGGCTCCAGTGGCTATAGGTAGATGATCTACTGGAGCTGCAGTTACTGGCATTGTGAGCTTTCGGGGAACTTCTGACCTCTGGAAAAACCAGCCCTCAGCCTCTCAGCCAATTCTCCGCTCCAGCATTTGTCTTTTTGTTTTTAGGTTATTTCCCTTCTTATTCTCCGTGTTCATCCATATTGTAATAAATGGTTGGCCATTATTCTACTGTGTCCATTTATCCTACAATGTGATGACATATCACACCTATGTAAATAATGCCTGGACTAAATGTGGGAGTGTAAATGTGGAGATACTGATTTTATTTCCTTTGTGTGTTTCTATTCAGTAGTGGGAGTGCTGGATCATGTGACCATTCTATTTTTAATTGTTGAGAGTTCACATGTTCCCTCACTTTGATTGTATTCCAGGGGCTTGACCCAATGGTTGTTAGTTGTTGATTTTTCTTCATCAGCTTCTGTCTGTTTCTGGAAGAGGGTTCTAGCTTCTCTGGGATTGTAGATTGTAGGCTGGGTATCTTTTGGCTTATGTCTGGTATCCACTTATGACTTGTCTTTCTGGGTCTGGTTTACCTCACTCAGGATGTTTTTTCTAGTTATATCCATTTGCCTGCAAATTTCAAGATGTCATTGCTTTTTACTGCTGAGTAGTACTCCATATGTAAATGTACCACATTTTCTTTGTCCATTCTTTGGTTGAGGGCCATCTAGGTTGTTTCCAAGATCTGGCTGTTATGAATAATGTTATGAACATAGTTGAGCAAATGTCCTTGTGGTGTGAGTGTGCCTGCTTTGGGTATATGCCCCAAAGTGGTATTGCAGGGTCTTGAGGGAGATTGATTCCTAATTTTCTGAGAAATTTTCATACTGATTTCCATAGTGGCTGTACAAGTTTGCACTCCCACCAGCAACGCCGTCCATATGAAATTGAGTATTGTTCTTTCAAACTCTGTGAAGACTTGTGCTGGAATTTTGATGGGGATTGCATAGAATCTGTAGATTACTTTTGGTAAGATTGATTGCTAATTTTACTGTGTTGATCCTACCTATTGAAGAACATGGGGGACTTTTCCATTTTCTAATGTTTTCTTTAATTTCTTTCTTTAAAAACTTGAAGTTCTTGTCATACAGTTGTTTGGTTAGAGTTACCCCAAGATACTTTATGTTATTTGTGGTGATTATAAAGGGTGATGTTTCTCTGATTTCATTTTCATCTTATTTTTAATCTGTACATAGGAGGGCCACTGATTTTTTTTTTTTTTGAGTTAATCTTCTGTCCTGCTGTATTACTGAAGGTGTTTATCAGTTGTAGGAGTTCCCTGGTAGGATTTTTGGGGTCACATCAGCAAATAGCGAGAGTTTGACTTCTTTTCCAATTAGTATTCCCTTGATCTCCTTTTGTTGTCTTTTACCATTCTAGCTAGAACTTCAAATACTATATTGAATAGATATGGAGAGATTGGACAGCCCTGTCTTGTTCCTGATTTCAGTGGAATTCCTTTGAGTTTCTCTCCATTTAGCTTGGTGTTTGCTGTTGGCTTACTGTATATTGCCTTCATTATGTTTAGGTATGTCCCTTGTATCCCTGATCTTTTCAAGATGTTTATCATGAAGTGGTGTTCGATTTTTGTCAAATGCTTTTTCAGCATCTAATGAGATGATGATTTTTTTTCTTTCAGTTTGTTTATATGGTGGATAACACTGACCGATTTTCATATTTTGAACCATCCCTGCATCTCTGGGATGAATCCTACTTGGTTATGGTGGATGATTTTTCTGATTTTTTTTTTTAAATTCGGTTTGCCTGTATTTTTTATTATTATTAAATTTATTTTGGAACAAGTTTCTTTTTTTTTTTTAAAGATTTATTTATTATGTATACAGTGCAGTGTTCTATGTGCATGTACAGCTGTGAGCCAGAAGAGGGCACCAGATAGCATTACAGATGGTTGTGAGGCACCATGTGGTTGCTGGGAATTGAACTCAGGACCTCTGGAAGAGCAGCCAGGGCTCTTAACCTCTGAGCCATCTCTCCAGCCCCGGTTTGCCTGTATTTTATTGAGTATTTTTGCATCAACGTTTATGAGGGAAACTGGTCTGTAATTCTCTTTCTTAGTTTTGTCTTTGTATGGTAACTGTAGCCTTGCAAAGAGTTTGACAGTATACCTTCTGTTTCTATTGTGTGGAATAATTTGAAGAGTATTGATATTAGTTGTTCTTTGAACTTCTGATAGAATTCTGCTCTGAAACCATCTGGCCCTGGGCTTTTTTTGTTTGGGAGACTATTGATAGCTGTTTCTATTTCTTTAAGGGCTATAGGTGTATTTAAGCTGTTTATCTGTTCTTGATTCAATTTTGGTATGTGGTGCTTATCTAGAAAATTGTCCATCTCCTTAAAATTTTCCAGTTTTGTGGAGTATGACCTGATAATTCTCTGGATTTCTTATGTGTCTGTTGGTATGTCTCCCTTTTTGTTTCTGATTTTTTTTTTTAATTTGGATATTCTTGCTCTTGACTTTTAGTTGGTTTGAATAAAGAGTTGTCTATCTTGTTGATTTTTCTCGAAGAACCAACTCTTTGTCTCATTGATCCTTTGTATTGTTTTCTTTGTTTCTATTTTATTGATTTCAGCCCTCAATGTGACTATTTCTTGACTCCTGGGTGAGTTTGCTTCTTTTTGTTGTTGCAGTGAGTTCAGTTGCTCTGTTAATTCACTAATGTAGACATTTAGTGCTACAAACTTCTCATTATGACCCATACGTTTGGGTATGTTGTGCAGTCATTTTCATTTAATTGTAGGAAGTCTTTAATTTCTTTACTTCTTCCTTGACCCAGTGGTGACTCATTTGATCATTGTTCAATTTCCATGTGTTTGTGGGCTTTCTGAAATGAATGTTGCTGTTGAATTCTAACTTTAATCCGTGGTGATCCAATAAGATACATGGGTATTAGGTGTGTGTGTGTGTCTGTGTGTTGGGGTTTGCTTTGTTACCGAGAACCTTCTCAAAAATATACCACATACTCGGTTTTTGAGAAGGTTACATGAGGTGCTGAGAAGAAAATATATTCCTTTGTGTTTGGGTGGAATGTTCTACAGATCTCTGTTAAGTGCATTTGAGTCATAACATCTGTTAGTTCCCTTATTTCTCTGTTAAGTTTCTGACTGGCAGACTGGCAGACCTATCCAGTGGCGAGAGTGGGTTGTTGAATTCACCCACTATTAGTGTGTGGGGCTTAATTTGTGATTTAAGCTTTAGTAATGTTTCTTTTATAAATGCAGGAGCCCTTGTGTTTGGGCCATAGATGTTCAGAATTGAGATTTCCTCTTGATGGATTTTTTCCTGTGATAAATATGAAATGCCCTTCATTATCTTTTTTTTTTTTTTTTTAGTTTGAAGCCTATTTTGTTAGATATTAGGATAGCTACACCAGCTTGTTTCTTAGGTTCATTTGATTGGAAATTTTTTTTCTCAGCTTTTTACTCTGAGCTAATGACTGTCTTTGAGGTTGAAGTATGTTTCTTGTATGCAGCAGAAGGATGGATTCTGTTTCTGTATTCAGTCTATTAGCCTATGTCTTTTTGTAGGTGAGTAGACCATTTATATTAGTGGATATTAATGACCAGTGATTGCTAGTTACTGTTATTTTTGTGTTGTTGGTGATGGCATTGTGTGTTCAGTTCCCTTCTTTTGGATTTGCTGCTATAAACTCAGATCTATTGCCTGTATTCTTGTTCTTGTGTGTGCAGCTGACTTCTTGGGTTGGAGTTTCCTTCTAGTACTTTCTGTAGGGCTAGGTTTGTGGAAGGTATTGTTTAAATCTGGTTTTATCATGGAATATCTTGCTTTGTCTATCTATGGTTATTGACGCTTTGCTGAGTATAGTAGTCTGGGCTGCATCCATGGTTCCTTAGTGCCTGCATAACATCTGTTCAGGACCTCTGGCTTTCATGGTTTCCTTTGAGAAGACAGGTGTCTGCCTTTGTATGTTACCTGGCTTTTCTCCTTTGCAGCTCTTAATGTTCTTTCTTTGTTCTGTATGCTTTTTGTTTTGATTATTCTATGGCAAGAGGACTTTTCTCTTTGGTCCAGTCTATTCGGTGTCCTGTAAGCCTCTTGTATTTTCATGGGCATGTCTTTCTTTAGGTTGGGAAAGTTTCCTTCTACCATTTTGTTGAATATGTTTTCTGGACTTCTTCTGTCTCTTTAGTTCTTAGGTTCAGTCTTTTCATGGTGTCCCGGATTTCATTGTCTTTGACCGGTGTATCTGTTTCCTCTATTACCTCTTCAGCTACTGAGATTCTCTCTTCCGTCTCTTGTATTCTGTTGTTTATACTTGCGTTTGTGGTTTCCCATTGTTTACCCAGATTTTCCATTTCCAGAGTTCCCTCAGTTTTTATTTTCTTTATTCTTTTTCAGAATTCAAATCTTGAATTTATTCCTTCACTTGTTTGATTGATTTTTTTTTTAAGGGATTTGTCATTTTCTCCCTATTCTTTGCCTTTTCCCCATTTCTTTAAGGGAATTTTTCATCCTTATGAAATCATTTTTAAGGTCATTTTCTTCTGCTTCATCTGCATTGGGATGTTCAGGTCTTGCTGTTCTAGCACCACTAGCTTCTTTGTATTGTTGAATGTGTTCTTTCCTTGTTGTGAAAGCCTCACTTCCTCTAATCAGTATAGGTGGAGCTTGTGCTTCGGGGGTGTCTCTTTCTCCAGTTGGTAAAAGTGGAGCTGTGGCTCCATTGACTGCTCCTTCGGTGCAATCAGAGCGGAGCCTGTGGTGATCACTTCAGATGGAAGTGAGCCCAAGGCTCAGGGAGCCGCTCCTTGAGGTACAGTAGACACTCCTGCCGTTGGGGGCGAGGCCGTGGCTCTGGTGATTGCTCCTCTTGGTGTACATGGGGCTGAGATTCCAGTGGTTGCTTCAGTAGTGGGGTCTCTGAGTGCAAAGCGATGGCAGTGGGTGTTGGCTGGGGCACAGGTACTCTTTGCCAGAGGAACTTCGTGGGATAGCTTTTGGAAGCTGCTGCTGTTGTCTCTCCCAGCAGTTGCTTCCTGTTCCCAGGTGGGTGGCTCTGGCCTCCCTATGAGGATGCTTCCAGGCCTGAAGCTAGGGCCTCCCTATGAGGATGTTTCCAGGCCTGAAGCTCGGGCTCCCTATGAGGATGCTTCCAGGCCTGAAGCTAGGGCTCCCTATGAGGATGCTTCCAGGCCTGAAGCTCGGGCCTCCCTGTGAGGATGCTTCCAGGCCTGAAGCTAGGGCTCCCTCTGATGCTGCTCTGGGATCTCCTAGTCTGCTTTCTTTAATTTGAAGCAGCCAACCAAGGATTGCTGATAAATGAGCTAATGATGGACACTTTAAAAACAGATAATTATTTCTTTTTTATCAGTGCTTAGCCTGTATTTGCATCATTTACATTCCTGATGCCCAAGGAGGATAAGAGGGCGACAAATCCCCTAAATTGGAGTTAGAGATGGCTGTGAGCCACCATGTTAGTGTTTGGAATTGCAGCTGCAGACCCTCCTGACCCTCGCTCAGCCCTGAGCTTGTAAAGGAGGTGCAGTTCTGATGCTGTGACCCCTGTCATCCCTGAGGGTGGGATTCCAGTGTACAGTCTAGGCCAAGCTGCATCTCAGATGGAAGATGGGATCCCTTCTGCTGGCATCTTCTGGAGGAACTTCAAGGCAGACGTGCTTATGCTCTGCACGTCCACTGTGAGCCCTTGCCAGTGGCTTGTCTAGGGTCAGGACAGGAAGGGCTTTGTGTGGAGCCCTGTCGGCTCCTAATTGTGTGTGGAGGCTGTGAGCAGTGGGAGAGGAGCGTGTGAGTATGGATGCTTGAGAAATAACAGTAGTCAGTGACCATGCTGACCTGAGTCAGTCTGGGGACATCAGTGACAATCCAATGAAAAGGCTCTCTTTCGTCCCCAGGGGAGGATCCTGAAGGAGAATGGCCAGCTCTGGTCCTCAAGACACGGTGTGTGTAAGTTGTGTCCTCTCTTTCCATGGGTGACTTTCAGGTTGGGTGAGTCTTTGCTGTCTCTCGCGAAGCTTCCCCAGGACCGGAAATCCCCAGCCCAGGCTGCCCTGTCCATCACAGTGAGGGCTGGAAGGTCAGAGCACTTCCTGTGTGTGTCTCTTTCCTGCTGCTTCTGGAGTTTTCTCTGAATGCATTCCTGCACATCTGCTCTCTGCTTGGTCTGTGGTCAGGGAGGACTGTCCTTGCCATGGAGGCTGCGGTCCCCCAGGGAAGCAGGGTGTTTGGGGTTTCAGAACGTTGAGGTGATGGTGTCCTTTGACTGCACGGGATCCCGATTGCCGTCTTTGTTGTTTTCAGGCTGATGACTCGGGGTTTGAGAGTGAATGGTCTGGGTGCATGTGTGTGAGGAGATGACCTGCTTGAGGAGCTTTGAGAGAGAGTGAGGTCATTCAGGCTGTGATTGGAGGGGACGGCAGTCTCCAGAGTTCAGGAAGACCTAAGACACATGCCATCGTGCAAGTTTTTATTTTTCAGAACAAAACCTTTTAAACCTAATACGCTAGTAATATGGACTCCTGCATTTTATGGAAACATATAGTTTATAAAAATTATTGTAATGATAAAGAACGTTTGTGATATCATCTGATGCCATAATAAACTCAAGGACTCACTATTTCTTAGGTATTTTACACTGAATGCTGGTGACAGTTCTCTTGAGGTGATAACTTGAAGGATGTGAATGGAATGGAAATGCACAGTTATTGGATGTGTAGGGTGGGGACCATCATCCTTTACTGGGGAGCTCATGCAGTCAGGCGCCTTGAGCATTTCCATGGCTCCTTTCCCGCTCTTGAGTCCTTTCCCTTCTGTGTCTCCATCTTGAACTCTTCCCCAATTTCACTCCACTGTGTTTGTGGTTTCAGGGCTCAGTGACATTTAGGGATGTGGCTGTCGACTTCTCTCAGGAGGAGTGGGCCTGCCTGGATGCTACTCAGAGAGTCTTATACAGGGACATGATGCTGGAGACCTACAGCAACCTCGTCACAGTGGGTAAGGCCATCTGTCCCCATGAGTGGGGGATGTGTCCCCTACACTGTTGTCTTTGCTGACTCTGAATGGAAAGACAGGGCCATCTCTCCTGTGGTAGCTGATGCTGGGCTTGGTGGCCCATGCCTGTCACACCGTCACTCTGAAGTCTGAGGCAGAAATATTGCTGTGAAGTCAAGGTCATTCTCAGATACATAGTGAGTTCAAGGGTAGCCTTGTCTACAGGCCCTGTTTCAAACAAAAGAAAACAAAACAAAGAAATAAAGAAAATGAAATAATGAGATAAATCAATAAATAGAATTAGTGGCTAGTGAGATAGCTTGTTTGTTAAGGGAACTGCCTTTTCTTTCAGAGGACCCAGGTTCAATTCCCTGCTCCATAGTATGACCTACAACCCTCTGTAACTCCAGTTCCAGGGAGCTGATGCTCTCTTCTCGCCTCCATGGTCATCATACATGCATGTGGTACTCACATGTACATGCACACAGACACTTACACGCACATAAAATAGACTTAAGTCAATATCATTTTTACAGAGTTCCTCCTATTTCTTGGGTTGAAAGCAGGAGCTAGAGAGTGTGGCCTGAGGGTCCATGTTCTCACCCACTGTGTATGCTTTCCTCTTACGTGACATTTAAATGAGATTAAACAGTTTCATGAAACAGCTAGTTTCCCATCCATGTTGCTCCTCCTCCTTTGACATCTTCCCTCGCATTATTTGGGTTCTTGAATTTCTTTTTCTTTCTTTCTTTTTTTAATCCATTTTTCCAAGATGGGCGTCTTGCTAGACGACAGCACAGACTGTCCTGGCTCATTCCCCTAGCTGTGGGCTCACAGGCATGTTCTACCATGCCAAGTTGTATAGACCTTTATAATGAATACATCTGTATTTTTAAAAACTTGCACAGGCAGCTCATGGAGGCAGCGCCTTTAATTCCAGCATTTGGGAGGCTGAGTCAGGCAGATCAAGTCAGTTCAAAGCCAGCCTGCTCTACATATCCTTAAAAAAAGAAAAGGAAAGATAAACAAAACAACCTCTCTCTACATGTGTGATTTCTCTCTTTCTTTTAAGTGGGAAGTTCCATTTCCAAACCGGATCTGATCACCTTACTAGAGGAGGAGAGAGAGCCCTGGATGGTTGTGAAGGAAGAAACAGACAGGCCCGGCCCAGGTGAGTAAGAGGAAGGCAGGGCTCCAGCATTGCCAGACACAGCATGTGGTTGGAGAGTCACGTCATGCCTGACACTGGGTTGACACACTTCCTTCAGAGCGCCAAGGCCTGCGGAAGAACATGGCTGAGACCTGGGCAGAAGTCAAGGTCATAGCAGAAGCTGTCACAGGGGCTTCTAGTTCATGGGTCACTAAGTTGTTCCCATCGTCCTCTCTCCCACTGGAGCAGTCACCCTCTTTCTGTCATGTTAAAGGTATTTTATTATTGACCTGCGTGTACACACACATATGTGCAGGTACCCAAAGAAGCCACAGTAGAGTGTCAGATACAAGGGTTGTGATTTCAAGTGTGTACCACCACACCCAAGTTTTATACGAGAAGATTACACTTGAATCGAATGGGATTTGCCTAAATAAATGGCCTATTTCGTGAGCTGTAGAGACGGGGTTTACACTGGACACGTGTAGCCTGAGGGTCCATGTTCTCACCCACTATGCATACTCTCCTTAAGTGACAAGTCCCCAGCTGCGTTTTCATGAGATTAAACCTTTTCTGAAACAGCAGGTTTCTCACCCAGGTTCTTCTCTGAAGTCTTTCCTCAGCCTCATTGGAGCTTTATTAAAATCTGTTTTTCCAAGATCAGTCTTGTTATGTAGCACAGACTGGCTGGCTCATTCCCCCAGCTGTGGACTTACAGGCATGATCCACCATGCCAAGGTGTATAGATGTTTATAATAAATAAGTCTGTATCTTTAAAAAAATCTACTCAGACAGCTCATGGTGGCACACACCTTTTTTTTTTTCTTTTAAATTTATTAAACTGTTGGCCGATGGCTAGGGCTTCTTAATTATTAACTCATTTCTATAAGTCTGATTTCCACATGGTCTTGTCTTACCAGGGAATGCCTGACATGTTTGCCCCCCACCCCAGGCACCTCACTTCCTACCTTTCCCAGAATTCTCCTTGTCTCCTGGTCCAGCCTATCTTGCTGCTTCTATTGGCTAAACAGTGTTTTATTCATCAACCAATAAGAGAAACATATATACAGAAGGACATTCCCCCATCATCTCATCTTTTCTGTCTAATAAAAAGATGGGTTTTAACTTTAACTTAGTAAAATTACATATAAGAAAACAGTTACCAAGGAAGAACTATAGTTAATATTTAGTCCATTAACATTTTACAAAATTTAAAGAAAATATTTTTATCATATATCCTATCTTTGTAAGTCTAAAGTTTTATATGTAACTTACCTTTTATCGTAACTAAGGAAAAGTATAACCATAACTATCTGTCTTCAACTCCATCAGAGACCTCAGAAGGATAATGTATAAACTCTAGAATTGACAGAGGCATCTTGCTGCCTGGACAGTCACCCAAAGTTTCTCTGTCCATAGGCCACAGTGTGTCTGGCAGGCTTCTCAGTGAAGCAGGAAATTTTAAACTGTCCACCTGTATTGGCAGTTTGTCAGCCACTTTTCTCTGTGTCCTACAATATGTCTGGCAGACTCTTCCATGAAGCAGGAACCCTCAGGACTGTCCCATCTTGTTTTCTCAAGTTCAGCTGTCACTGTCCTGTGGGTCCTGCATGTCCAGTTCACACTGCGTACAGTCAAACAGTCCAGGCAGGAGACGTGTCTTGCCCACATGTCTAGTCTGGCCATTTTGAAATCAACTCCATGTTGAGTTTCTTCGATGCCCATCCTCCTTTCTGACGTAATTGTCGTTGGCCAGGAGCAGTTGTATCTCTTTGCCATGAAAAACCCTTAACCATTTTAAATGCCGTATACTGAAGGTCTTTGGAAGGTTTGAAGAATAGCTATCCATCTCAAATACATCTCTGTATATCTAGAAAAACTAAGTAACATAAGTTTTCACTACTATAGGTGATTATTATTTGTATTTAATTACATATTACATGAGCTGTATAAACACATTACCTAAACAAGAGGAGAAATATACCTATAACAAATTGACCTTAAATTTGTATCAGTAAATCAAATTCCATACCAATACAAGGTATTCTTTTCTATATGATATTTCCTTTTTTTCCCTTTAAAGAGAGATTGGCTTTATCATTAACCATTTATAACTAACCCCATTTAAATGAAAACAAACATTTCTGAACAGTATTTGGGAATTTGGCCGTTGTTCTCTCCAAGCTGCTTCCTGCTGGTAGGGGGCGCTGTCAGTACCATGGGGATCCTGAGAAAGCCCAGAAACCTGGCCAAGTCCAGGCTGTAGTGGTCTGCAAGGCTGCCTCGTCTCAGCTGTTTTGGATGTTGAATCACCTGGACCACTGTTTCAGGGGGTCTCGCTTGATCAAACCATATCAGTCTGGAAGGAGACCACAGCTTTTTATTTTCTGTGGAAACAAAAACAAAACCTCTTTCCCAAAGTAGCATGTCCTTAGACTTAAATTTAGAATTCAAGGCATTTTCAAAATATATAGGTTGGATTAATCTAACAGCATTTATAATCAAATGTCTGTTAGCAGCTGTTACTCCTTCCTCAGCAACCAAACAATTCAAAGACAACACAGTAACATACAGTATCCTGGCTTTTTTTTTTTTCCTATTTCTTTTACTTTTCATTTTTTGAAACAGGGTGTCTCTGTGTACTTTTACATGTTCTGGAATACACTCTGTAGACCAGGCTGCCCTTGAAATCACAGAGATCTGCTTGCCTCTGCCTCCAAGTGCTGGGATTAAAGGCCACATGCCACCACACCCAGCTACTCTATTTGTTTTTTAACCACTTTATCCGTTTTCTTGTCTCTCCCAAGCCTATGTGTATTTTTAAGCACATTGTAAACCCTTTAGAGGTTTCTCTTCATCTGAATCTGTCTTTACTGTATATCTCTATCTTTTTCTGGCCACAAGTCTTTTATTTGCTAAACAGCATTGCTAAAGTTAAAGTGTATGTTTTTAGCTGCTGGCTTTCCAACATGGCAGGGATACGTTTACCGCCAGCACTGGGAGCTGTGCTCACTGGCTTGGTCTATGCCACCGTCAAGCAGCATGCTGCTGGCTGCTCTTAAACACCGTTTGTTTGGTAGTAGGGCCTCTTAAAAGAGCTGTGTGGGTTTTTAGTGCTTATGCTGAGTCAGGAAGCTCTCTTAAAGGAGCTGTGAGTTTCTGCTTGTCTCTTGCAAACGGCCCACCTGAGAAAATGCCGCTACCAAGAAGCCATGCTCGCTTCTATTGTTTTTAGAATCCCTTTTTAAGCTTTTGTCATGTTTTATGTGGAAATTCTTGCAACCCACGTTTTTTGGCACCATTTTGTTGCTGCAGATTTTCTTTCCAGCATGGTCCCACAGCAGTTTAGCCCAAATGAGCACAGAGAGACATATTTTATTTATTTATTTATTTAATTTTATATAACAAAGTCCAATTAAATGAAAACAAACATTTATACACAATATTTGGGAATTTGGGCATCGTTCTTTCCAAACTACTTTCTGCTGGTAAGGGGCGCTGTCTTGGGGGATTCGAAGAAGATTCAGATATCCTGGCTGTAGTCTGTAGGGCTGTTTTGTCCAGCTGTTTTGAATGTAGGATCAGCTTGTACTCTGTTTCAGGCGGTCTGGCTTGATCAAACCACATTAGTCTGGAAGGAATCCAGACTAATTTCATTTTCTGTGGAAACAAAAATAGAAATCCTTTTTCCCAGTAACTTGTCCTTCAACTTAAATTTTGGAATCAAAGCATTTTTTTAATTTAATTTATTATTTTACATGTCGATCCCAGTTCCCTCTCCCTCCCTCCCCCCAGCCTTCCATCCCTTCTTCCCTCCCTTTTACCCTCTCTGCCCTCTCACATGCACTCTAAACACCCTTCCCTCCCATCCCCCCATCCCAATTCCATATGTAGGGGAATGCCATCCAGTTGGGGTCATGTAGATCTGACAGGTCCTGTGAAGTAGGGACTAGGGCTTCTCTCCTGCCTCTAGATTAAGGCAGTTATCCCTCCATGGGGGATATGTTCGCAAAGTACAGAGAGACATATTAATTGTTAAACTGATGGCCAATGGCTGGGGCATCTTATTGGCTAGCTGTGTCTCAATCATTAACCCATTTCTATTAATCTAAGTATTTCCATGTGGTCTTACTTTACCGGGGAAGGGTCTAACCTGTTACTCCTTCTCTAGCTATGTGGCGTCCTCTCTCCCAGCCTTTCTGGTGTCTCACACCATTAATCCCAGCATTTGGGAGGCAGAGGCAGGCACATTAGGTCAGTTCGAGGACATATTGAGTTCCAGGACATCCTGGGATTAAAAAAAGAGACTAAGTCTCAAAAAGAAAAAGCCTCTATGTGTCCTTTCTTCCTTTCTTTTAAGTGGGAAGTTCCATTTCCAAACCGGATCTGATCACCTTACTAGAGGAGGAGAGAGAGCCCTGGATGGTTGTGAAGGAAGAAACAGACAGGCCCGGCCCAGGTGAGTGAGAGGAAGGCAGGGCTCCAGCATTGCCAGACACAGCATGTGGTTGGAGAGTCACGTCATGCCTGACACTGGGTTGACACACTTCCTTCAGAGCGCCAAGGCCTGGGGAAGAACATGGCTGAGACCTGGGCAGAAGTCAAGGTCATAGCAGAAGCTGTCACAGGGGCTTCTAGTTCATGGGTCACTAAGTTGTTCCCATCGTCCTCTCTCCCACTGGAGCAGTCACCCTCTTTCTGTCATGTTAAATGTATTTTATCATTGTGTGTGTGCACATGTGTGCAGGTACCCAAGGAGGCCATAAGAGTGTCAGATCCCCTGGGGCTGGAATTACAGGTGGCTGCTGGTACTCGAACCCAGGTCCTCTGATCCAACCATAAGACACTCTGAACACCCATGTAAACAGTAGCACAGTGAGGCATAGCACGTAATTTTAACTGTATAGTCACTCTAAACAAGTTGTGATGGGATAGCCTTGCGTCTCGGTGCAGCACTGGGGAGGTGGGGAAGGGTGATCCCCTGAGCTTGCTGGCAAGTCAGCCTTGTTTACCTGTCAAGCCCCAGGCAAAAGAGAGACCCTGACTTAATAGCGTAGATGGACAAGCCAATGGGACATCCTGTGAGTACTCCATCTCTTTTGGCATGAGGGCTGTTGCCAATGTGTAGCTCCGGTGGGGTTCGGGTCCCAAAGAGGAGGTGTAGAGCCAGTAAGGGAAGGAGACCGACTCAGGATGGCTGCCTGTTAGGAGACCATACTCCTTACAGCTGCCTGTTTATTTAAAATGGGCCACACCTGTATACTCTATACTCGCATCACAGTTTAACCACAAACAAACCCTCTTTTTGTGACTATCTACGGCCGTACAACCCTGAACGCGCCCAATCTCGTTGGCATGCTTCTTGTACTTTCATAGGCATCTCCTGGCCGAGGGCAGGAGATAGGGTCTGGTCTTGGTTCCTCCTGTCTGTTTATAGAGTATTTCCTTTAAAGTGCAGTTAGATCTCTCAACAGCTGCTTGTCCTGTAGGATTACGTGTTGTACCAGTAACATGCTTTATGTTAAATATTTTAAAAACTGTTTCAATTTACTAGAGACATATGCTGGAGCAATGTCAGTTTTTATTTGTATAGGGAAACCCAAAGTAGCCATTACCTCTAATAGGTGTGTAATACAAAATCAGCCCTTTTAGAGATTAGAGCAGTTGCCCATTGAAATCCTGAAAATGTATATTGTGTGTATGGTGCACATATTTTAATTTTCCAAATTCTGCAAAATGAAACTTATCCATTTGCCAAATTTCATTTCTATGTGTATACCTTTAGAGTTATTGCTTGCTGGTAAAGGAGTTTGGTTTTAGAAGGAACAAGTAAGACATTTTTTACTATTTCCTTAGCTTGTTGCCAAGTGAGGAAAAAATTCTTTTTTAAACCCTTGCTATTCACATAGTGTTTTTATGAAATTCCAAGGTCTCCAGCACACTTCCTATTAATAATTGATCAATTTCATCATTGCCTTATGCTAGAGGACCTTGCAGGCCCATATGGGATCTGATGTATGATTTTATATATATATATACATATATATATGTATATATATATATGTATATGTCCTATTCCTGGTTATTTCCTGTAATTGTATAAATAGCGAAGTTAATTCTGTATCATCAGGAATAAACTCAGCAGTCTCAATGTGTAAGATGACTCTCTCTGCCTATTGAGAGTAGGTAACTATATTGAGAGGTTCTGTAAAATCCATGCATACCCTGAGAATGGTATACAATTTTGCCTTTTGTATAGAGTTACAAGGGCTTTGAACCACTTGATAGTTCCTGATTCATACCTGCCTTACCTGATTTGTTTGCATATCAATGTAGAACGTAGGGACTCCAGAGAATGGTGTTTTCTCTACAATGCATAGAAGAATCCAAGTTTTTTTTTTTTTTTTTTTTTTTTTTTTTTTAATGAATTTTATTCTTTCACTTTTGGGATAATTGTTGCTAATCATTACAGCAAGCTCTTTGCTGATAGTCACTAGCATTCCATAAGGAGGAAATTTCCTCATTAGTTAAAGGTTCTATAATTTCTGCCTGGTCTGTTCCTGTCAGTTGACGAAGTCTTATTTTTCTGTTTAAAATAAAATCAGAAATCTTTTCTTTATGTTTTAAATTTTTATTCTGTTTATGTGGCAAAAATATCCATTCTAATATGGTATCTTCCCTCTGCATCAAAGTCCCTGAAGGGTATTTATTCCCTAGATGGTAATATAAACAGAATACAGTTGAGCTTTGGATCCACATGGTCCACATGTGCCTCTAGTATTCTCTTTTGTTTTAATTCTTTCTCAGCTTCCAGATGTTTTAGAGCATGTCTTACTCTGACAATAGTCTGTAGCAGGGAAATCTCTCCTAGCACTTTTTGAAGAGAATTAAGAGTCCGATGTTGATCCCTCATGATCTGTACTTTTTGTGATCTTATCTTCTCTAGACCTATTTTCTATCCCAAATAACTGATAGAATCTCCTCTTCGTATTTTTTTCAGGGGCAATTTGTAATCACTATTGAGCCAAAATTTTCTTTACTTCCAAAAACATTTTTTTCTAATGTCTCTGCCTTAGAATCATCCAACAATATATCATCCATATGGTGGTAAATTATAGATGTGGAAACTGTTTATGAATTGTTTCCAATGAATTGTTTCCAATTTTTGCACAAAATATTGGCACACGGTGGGGCTATTTAACATTTCCTGTGGGAGGACCTTCCATTGATATCTTTTGATCGGCTAAAAATCATTGTTAGTAGGCACCGTGAAGGCAAAGTTTTCCTATCTTTTTCTTGTAAAGGTATAGGAAAGAAACAGTCTTTTATGTCATTATCTATAACAGGCCATTCTTTAGGTATCAGAGAATGCATGGGTATTCCCAGCAGTAGAGAGCCCATTGACTGAATTACTTTATTGATGCCTCTCAGGTGTGTAAGCATTCTCCATTTTCCATATTTCTTTTTAATAACAAATATGGGAGAATTCCAAGGGCTGGTAGGTGATTCTTCAATATATCCATCATTTAGCTGTTCCTGAACCAGCTTTTCTAGAGCCTCTAGCTTCTCGGAAGTCATAGGCCATTGCCCCACACATACAGGTTCCTCAGTTACCCACTTTAAGGATTGGGCTTTAGGTTCCTTTGTTAGTTTGACACTTGTATTCTGTTTTTCTGCAGCCTGGATTGTTGGTGTCTGTTTTATAAAGTGCCTTAAAATATTTTTTCCATAATCATAAGTTTGTTTATGGTTCATATCTGATACAGGAGGAATGTTAATCTGGTTATTCCATTGCTGCAATAGATCACGACCCCATAGATGTATTGCTATATTAGCCACATATGGCCTTAGCCTTCCTCTTTGTCCTTCTGACCCATCTCATGCTTTGCTTTACCTGAGATATGGTTCCAATCCCTAAGAATTGAACATATACCTCCTGCAGAGGCCAATTTAGGTGCTTGAGTTATAATGATGACATCTGCCCCAGTGTCCAGCAAACCTTCAAGTATAACATTATTTATCTGTACTCTTAGTTTTGGTCTTTGGTCATTTATAGAAGTGTGCCAAAATATATGTTTTTTCGTTTCCTCCATGAATATTTGATTCATCCTCCAAAGCTAATCAACCATCCACAGCAGTATGATTTTTTTACAATAGGCACTGGGTTTTCTAATTGTTCTGGGGAAGATTGTCCTCTGCAGTGACTGGGAATGACTAGACCATGTCCAACATGGGGGCCTTTGAGTCATTGGTCCATTGTTGGCCTTTGCCGCATCTTCTACATAATCTAGAAGGTTGAGTCCTTCTGTTTGAGTTATTTCTAGAAGAAGCATTATTTCTAGGAATGCCTTGTCTACAGTTTCTTCTCAGATGTCCTATTCTACCACAATTTAAATGTTTGGTATTTGTATGTCTTTTCATACCTTTGGAGATTGCTTCTCCAACTCAGACCCCAGTCTCAATATTGGCTTTGTACAGGATCCATTCATCCACTGGTGCTGACCTGATCTTTAAGGACCCAAGCACTTTTTTGCATTTTAAGTTAGCATTTTCAAAAGCTAAAGATTCAATGAGTACTTCTGTAGCTTATGGATCTGCTACCCCTAATTGTATCGCATTAGTCAATCTTTGCAAAAATTCACTAGAAGATCCCTTTGGGCTTTGTGTAACCTTAGTATATGACTTGGTCCTTTTCCCTGGTTCTTGAATCTGATCCCAAGTATTCAAGGCTGCTGTATGGCATAGGAACAAGATGTGTTCATCATATGTAGCTTGCGTATCTCCATCGGCAGAATGGCCCTCACTGGCCAGTACTTGGAAGTCAGAGGCAGGCAGGCAGATCTTTTTGAGTTCAAGGCCATCCTGGTCTACAAAACAAGTTCCAGAACAGGCTTGAAATCAATACAGAGAAACCCTGTCTTGAAGAAAAAATAAATAAAGACCCTCACCAAGATTTTTATCTTGTGGGGAGCCTGATAACCTTTCTTTTTACCTTGGTGTTCAAGGGCCTTGGCCTCTTCTCTGCATAACGATCACCCTTCCATCTGTGGACCACTTTCTAGGGCAGCTGAGACTAATTGGCTCCAGTCATTTTGGGTTATTCTATATCTTGTAGCCCATGACTCTACTAACTGCCTCACATATGGTTAATGCATGCCATAAGAAACTATTGATTCCATAATATCTTTTAAATCTTTTATACTTGTTGGCTGCCAATGACATTCTTCAAATCCCTCTGGATGTTTCTTATTTTCTGTCTTTTCAGTAATAATAATAGGGTAGACCAAAGCAGGTAATGATGTTATGACCTTTGGTAAGCCATCTCTGACTCCAACAGGTACTGGTGATGTTAAATCTGTTCCATTCTCCTTCATTTGTACCTCGGCTTCTGGTGTATCCGTTTTAAGGTTTTCGATGGCCTGAAATCTATTCATCATTGTTTCTCAGAGTGTTTAAATTTCCTGGACAGTATAAACATCCAACGATTTCATTAAATCTGTCAGTTTCTTGTTCTCTTCATTCACATGTGATTCTAGAGATTAATGTTCTCACTCTTAGAGATTATCTGGATGGCATGTAGATTGCCTTTCAAAAACAATGTTCTGTCTGCTATCTTGTCATCAATCTCAGACATGGAACAAATTTTTTCTGTTAGCGGTTCAATATTTCATATTTTCCATTCTGTTTGTCAGATCATCATTACTGTCTTCATTGGTATGAATCCTTTTTATAAGCTCTCATTTACCAGTCTGTAAAGTCTGTATGATTTCTTTAAGTTCCTCATTCTTTGCTCTATTATCAACCCATTTCTTTAGGGCATTATGTTGATTACCAAGCTAATAGTAACAACGGCTGATAGTAAATACATTCCAGGTAGGTCGTAAATGTCTTCTAAAATCCCATCCATCTAAGAAGTGGGAAGATTCTTTACTTCCTGTATAGTAATATTATCCACCATTGGTGTGGAGTAGTTAATTGTATGTGTTTATGTATTTATTATCTTAAATTGCAAAAGATACACTACTATACCTTAAGTAAAATCCCAGAAGGTTGAGCTCTGGGTGCTGGCTGGCTCACTCGTTGATCTTAATGTTCAGTAACTTTGTTTGGCCAGCAGGTGTCACTGGTGTACCACCGAGGCAAGTCCAGAGGCAAAGAATCTTCAGTCTTTCTTGCCTCTAGTGTATTACAATCTGTTATTTCTAAACGACACTCAACAAGCCCAAACCCAATGAATTTTTGTTAGCGAGAAGAGAGGTCACTCAGCCTGTGTGAACCACCAGTAGTGCTGATCCAGCGGAGATGAGCAGCCATTTTAGCAACTAGAAGGTCCTTACACCTGGCATGTCTCAGGGGACCTTGGAGCTGCAGCTCAGGAAGCTCTGCAGCTACTTCCCACACTCATGAGCTGGCAAATCACTACACTCAACTTCCCACTTGAGTTTAGCATGCAAATCCCCACTCGCAGTCAGACTAAACCTCGGCTCGAGTGCTTGCTAATGCATACCGTGCTGAAGTAATTAGCAGACTCAGGCAGTGCAGACTACAGAAGTGTAAGTCGTCTCTTTCTGGAATCCCAGAATGCACTGAGGCTGGCGTGCATGGTCAGCATGTACAATCATGTGGGCTGATGGTGGGAATCCAGCCATGTGGGTGCCAGTTGAAGGCAGGGTATTAATGAGTTCACTAGACCCAAGATAAATGATAAACGGGTGTTTTATTGGGGAACAACTTACACAGACAACAGTAAAAGACCGCCACCACCGTGGCATCGCTGCTCAGGAAGACACAGTCGCTGCCCTCCCAATGCGATCTGCCTGTGCTTCTCTACCTTCCGGTCATGTCTGCCACTAACACAAATACACTGGCAAGGCGAGATGCTACTATACCAGCTATATTGCAATACTCAGGGCCTGCAGGGGTAGGCTGGCAGGATTCTAGTGCAGACATATTGTCTTGGCTTTCATTATGTTTTTACATGGGCATCTATGTACCTGGGTTTAGGATGATTGTAATTCTAGGTGCCGATATCTGGTCTTGTGTTTGTTTGGTGAATGTTTTGTTCTTTGGTTTCTCTTTCCCTCTCTGGTTCTTAGGAGAATATGGTGGCTGTGTGTTGCCTGGTAGGAAATGCTTGTGAAATCTGGATGGGTGAGGCCACTGTAGTTCCAGGTAAAATGTGTCTTAGGTGTTGGGAGCTGACACAGGAATGGGAATGGGATAGGTGGGTGTTGTGGAGGGTCCACAGGAGTGAGAAGGGCAGGTGTTCTAGTACGATCTGCTTAGTGTCCTGGGAATAGGAGCAGAGAGTGAGGAGAGCTCACAGGAAGTAGTCTCCTGCAGAGCTGTGGACGAGACTGGTCCTGCCAAATGAACACATGGATGGTTTATTAGTTATAAAACTGTTGGCCGGTGTCTAGGGCTTCTTATTGGCTAGCTCTGTCTTAATGATTAACCCATTATTAATCTTTGTATTTTCATGTGGTCTTATTTACCTGGAGAAAGGTCCAAACCTGTTACTCCTTTGTGGTCTACATGGCAACTGTTCTGATGGGCTCCCTGTGCCTACATCTCCCAGAATTCTCCTTGTGTCCTAGTCCTGCCTATCCTCCTGCCCCATTGGCCAACAGTGTTGTATTCATCAACCAATAAGAGAAACATACATACAGAAGGACTTCTCCCATCATGAGACTACGGAATTGGATTAGGAGGAGAGTAGCATAGATAAAGATGTGGAGTTAGACTAGCTGCTAGGATTGGAGATTCTTAGGCTTCTTTAAAATTATAATGAACCCCACCCTGCCGCCGCCTTATTTTTCTGCTTTTTTTTTTTTCCTTGTTTTTGTTTTTCTCAGACAGAATCTTACTATCTAGACAATGCTGGTACTACTGGATCTTTTTTTCTGGGGTTACAACTATGTGCTACCTCCTTTTTAAGAATTCCAAGTCATGCTAGTTTTCTTAAAGCATGACACATTTTATATATTTGTATGCTATATTCTTTTTGTCGTGATTTGGTTCAAAAATCTTTACTAAAAGGTGTTTATTTCAAGTAGTATACAAAGAAGCACATACGACTATTTCATATTAGTTTGTTACAGTCTCATTGACTAGACATTTCTTCTCCATTTCCAACCTGTTTTACTGTAAAGGGTATTGTCTCACATAAACTTTATTATTGCTGCTCTATTTGCTCCTGTTCATCTTTTCTGAAATTACTTTCAAGTCTGGCCTTCCATTTAATAGATTTTATGTTACAGGAAAATGGGTTTGTGTTACAGGAAAATAATGAAGTCTTCTCCTTTTCTTTCAGATTTGGAGTCATGTTATGAAGCTGAAAATACATCTCAAGAAAATTGTATTGATAATAGAAATTTATTCAAACAAAGCATAAAACAATTAAGCAACACTTTTGACCTCAAGGCATCCAGTTTTAGTAATGGCCCCAACTATAGTACATCCAAGGAAGTACCAAGTTATCAAGGAGATGTTTATCAAAACAGTAGTAACAAGGAAAAACTACTTACTAACACCTTCCAGACTCTTGCTCACAATATAGAAAAACCATATGAATGTAAAGAGTGTGGGAAATACTTTAGTTGTAGTTCAAATCTTATTCAGCATCAGAGTATTCATACTGGAGAGAAACCCTATGAATGTAAGGAATGTGGGAAAGCCTTCAGACTTCCCCAACATTTTGCAAGACATCAGAAATCTCACAGTGGTAAGAGACCTTTTGAATGTGATGAATGTGGAAAGGGTTTTCAACTTCCTAGTGTGCTTAAGTACCATAAAACCATTCATACAGGTATAAAACCATTTGTATGTGAGGAATGCGGGAAGTCCTTCAAGCGATTCTCCCACCTTGTTGAACATAGAACCATTCATGCTGATGTGAAACCATATGAGTGTAATGAGTGTGGGAAAGCCTTTAATCGTCGCTCAAACCTTATGCAACATCAGAAAATTCACTCTGGTGAGAGACCTTTTCAGTGCAAGGAATGTGGGAAAGCCTTCACCATTCTAGCACACCTCACTCGGCACCAGAACATTCATACGGGAGAGAAGTCATTTGAATGTAAGGAGTGTGGGAAGATATTCAGTTGTGGCTCATTCCTTGTGCAGCATCAGAGTATTCATACTGGGGAGAAACCCTTTGAGTGTAATGTATGTGGGAAGGCTTTTAGGCTTCAGGTATACCTTTCTGAGCATCAGAAAACTCACACTGATGAGAAACCTTTCAAGTGCATGCTCTGTGGGTCAGCCTTCAGACGTAAGTACCAACTTAATGAACATCAGAGAATCCATACTGATGAGAAACCATATCAATGCAAAGAATGTGGCAAACTATTTCGTCACCATTCAAATTTGATTGACCATCAGAGTATTCACACTGGGAAGAAACCGTTTGAGTGTAAGGAATGTGGGAAAGTCTTTAGACTTAATATTCATCTCATACGACATCAGAGATTGCATAGTGGTGATAGACCTTTTGAATGTGAAGAATGTGGAAGGGCTTTTCATCTCCCCAGCCAGCTTAATTACCATAAAATTGTTCATACAAGTATAAAACCCTTTGAATGCAAGATATGTGGGAAGTCCTTCAAGCATGTCTCCACCCTTGTTCAACATAGGATCATCCATGCTGATGTGAAACCATACGAATGCAATGAGTGCGGGAAAGCCTTTAATCGTCGCTCAAACCTTATGCAACATCAGAAAATTCACTCTGGTGAGAGACCCTTTCAGTGTAAGGAATGTGGGAAAGCCTTCACTGTTCTGGCACTTCTCACTCGGCACCAGAACATTCATAGTGGAGAGAAATCTTTTGAATGTAAGGAATGTGGGAAGATATTCAGTTGTGGCTCATTCCTTGTGCAGCATCAGAGTATTCATACTGGGGAGAAACCCTTTGAGTGTAATGTATGTGGGAAGGCTTTTAGGCTTCAGGTATACCTTTCTGAGCATCAGAAAACTCACACTGGTGAAAAACCTTTCAAGTGCATGCTCTGTGGGTCAGCCTTCAGACGTAAGTACCAACTTAGTGAACATCAGAGAATTCATACTGATGAGAAACCCTATCAGTGCAAGGAATGTGGGAAATATTTTCGTCGACGTTCAAACTTTACTGAACATCAGAGTATTCACACTGGGAAGAAACCGTTTGAGTGTAAGGAGTGTGGGAAAGTCTTTAGACTTAATATTCATCTCATACGACATCAGAGATGTCATAGTGGTGAGAGACCTTTTGAATGTGAAGAATGTGGAAGGACTTTTCATCTTCCCAGCCAGCTTAATTACCATAAAAGCATTCTTCATACAGGTCAAAAAATATTTGAATGTGAGGAATGTGGGAAGTCCTTCAAGCGTGTCTCCAGCCTTGTTGAACACAGGATTATTCATGCCGGTGTGAAACCATATGAGTGTAGTGAGTGTGGGAAAGCCTTTAGTCGTCGCTCAAACCTCATGCAGCATCAGAAAATTCACTCTGGTGAGAGACCCTTTCAGTGTAAGGAATGTGGAAAGGGCTTTACTCTTCTGGCACAGCTCACCCGGCACCAGAGCATTCATACTGGAGAGAAATCATTTGAATGTGAGCAGTGTGGGTCAGCCTTCAGACTTAAGTCCCAACTCAGTCAACATCAGAGAGTTCATAGCGATATGAAACTCTTTCAGTGCAAGGAATGTGGAAAGGACTTTATTAATAGTACAGGCCTTCGAATTCACCAAAGAATCCATACTGGTGAGAAGCCCTTTCAATGTAAGGAATGTGGGGAAGCGTTTCAGTATCATTACCAATTTCTCGGACACTTTAGAATTCATACTGGCAAGAATCCTTATGAATGTACACAATGTGGGAAGTGCTTTACTTGTGATAGAGACCTTAAATTACACCAAAGAATTCATTCTGTTGAGAAACTTTACCAGTGTTAAGAATGTGGGAAGGCCTTTAGTGACGATTTTATCTAGCAATATATCTGAGAATTCACACTGGTGAGAAGCCCTATGAAACTAAGAAATGTGGGGAAATGTTTAGATTTAATTTCAGCCTTCATTGCACATTGGGGAAGTGATACTGGCATGAACCACTATCACTGTAAAGAATGTGGAAAAACCTTGAATTTTGAGTTCAGGCCTTCAACATAAACGAATCCATGTTGGTTCGAAACCCTATGAATGGAAGTAATGTGGAAACATAGGATTAGCCCAGCTGTCAAACCTCATCAGAGAGTCCTTATAGATCTGAAACCCTGTGAATGCAAAGAATGTGGAAAAGCCTTATTGTAAATGATAAGCCTACACAACATCAGAAAATCCAGAATTGTCAGGAGTCCTGTGCTAGTACAGAAGGAAGACATGCCTTTGTATGGAAATTTTACTGAAAATCAGAGAACTCATCTTGGCAAGACTGTGATTGGAAAGATTATAGGAAGAATTTTATCCTGCCTAGGATTTGGTAACATGAGAATATTCATATATTCTTGATAATGAGAAACCCTTTGAGAAAGAGAATGTGGGAAGTCTGTTCAGAGATAATACTCTGTTGAGAATGTCAATGTTAGCCATCATGTTCTTGATTTACTCTCCTCTCATTCTGTAAACTATTTTTAAAACACTATTCACTCAGGAACTAGGTTTATCAGGGGCACCTTCCTTGTTAACATTAATGTTCTATGTATGGCTCCCATCATACTAACATAAATATACTGGATATTTACTTTCTTTTAATATAATTTGTTAATGACCATCCCAGTACCAAAGTTATGGGAACATGATTATGATAGGTGGTAAGCTTTTTCAAGAATATTTGGTTACTGCCTGTGTTCTGTAAAATAGCTTTTACGTTTTTCTCCCTTGGCATAACTGTAACTGATATAACAGGCTGTACTTTAGATAGTTTACAAACCCCTCATGCATTCATCTACTAGTAAATTTTAAACAACTTCATTCTGTATACATCTAATATCTAATGCACAAAGAGGAATATGAAAGGATGTAAATTGCAAATCCATTAAATATTTGTGTGGAGATGTTTAAAAAGCACAGCTGTTGATAGAGTAAATACTTTCTAAAGAGGTTGAACCCATAAAAAATTCAAAAGGTAAAGCCTATAATTTATGCACTCCTTCCACACATAAAGATAAACTACATTTCTGTCAGGGCAAGAAAGTCCATGGGATCATCCATCTCTAAATTCTTACTTGGGCATTTCAGGTTTCGGTAGAATTTGATTTCCTTGATGGATAATCTCATGGAAAATTACCCAAGTCTAGTTAGGGAACCTGAGATCAATTGCCCCTGATTCTGTTAGAGTCCATGTGTGTAAGTCTTCCCCTCCAGCTATTGCTTATCTTGGTTACTGTTAAACTGTCTAGTTGGGCATAAATTCCCCCTGCAGCTGCAGAGCAAGATAAGAGGAGGTGGGATTTGCTCTAAATACTTGTGGCTACATGTAGGTTCCAAGTATCTGGGTGTAGTACAAGCTTGTTACGAGCATGTTTTCCCGCCCACCTGGTCCCAGAGCCATGTCAGCCCCAAATAACACACAGAGACATTATATTAGATATAAAGCTGTTAGCCTGTTACTAGCATTTCTTACTAGCTAGTTCTGTCTTAAATATTAACCCATTTCTATTAATCTTAAGTATTTTCACGTGGTCTTATCTTACTGGAGAGAGGGTCTGGAGTTCTACCCTGTTGGTCCTACATCTTGAAACCTCCCTACTTCCTTCTAGTACCTGGGTGTAGTACAAGGTGGCTGGAATAAAGACTTTTAGTTGGATATTAACTCTGTCTGAGTGGTTTTCCCTGGTAGACTCCCCATACATATTAACAAAATTAGCCAAAGTGAAACCATTTATAAAAAAGGATTTGTGAGCCAGACAGTTGTAGCACACAGCTTCAATCCCAGCACTTAGGAGGTAGAGGCAGAATGATTTGTATGTATTCAAGGCCAGCCTGGTCTACAAAGTGAATTCCAGGATAGCCAGGACTATACAGAGAAACCCTGTCTCAACCTCCACCCATCAAAAATGTCTGAAAAATTTCATACATATTGAGAAGTTGTATTAGTCAACAACACATTTCTGGATCATCATCTAGATTGAAAATTGTTATCAATTTCCTATGTTGAGGGTTTTTTTTTTCCCCCTGTATATATAGGTATCTGGAGTATAACATTAAGAATGGTTTAGACTTGGGTATAGTAGTGCATGCCTGAATCCTAGTAATTGGAAAGCTGAGACAGGAGGATCAAGAGTTAAAGGTAAGTGTAGCTACATAGTGACTTCAAGTCCAGCTTTGACTTTATAGAGACCGTTTGTCAAAAGAAAATATATTGTAGACATGCTATTTCATTCCTTACTATATCAGCCAAGATAGAATATCATCTATTCCACAAAGCTGTAGTTAAGGAAATGATCCAGAATGTTATAGTCACAAATTTGTCATTGGCCTTCAAATTGTCCTAAGGAGAATCCAATAGAGATAGATATTAGGCTTTGTCTTTTATTAAATTTTCAGTGTTGATTTAAAACAAGGCCTTGTGCGTGGTAGGAATGTGTTCATCAAGCAATATTCCCAGCACTTAGTCATTGTATGTTTTTATCCAAGGGAAATTATGTTCAGGTGAAGCATTTTGAGCAAGAATGCATTGTAGATTGTAAATCATGTTGGGGCAAGTCCAGAAATATGTCCACTATCTTATTGATGAAATTAAGCTTAGTCTTTTTGGTGAGATGGTGGATGTGATTTAATTTGGTTAAATATAAATAAAAATGGAAATCAACTTCTAAGTAGCTTAATTATGTTAACATAATAAAAGTGTGTGATGTAACTGAACCTGTACTTAGTACAAAATTCCCTTTTTCTTGGTTTATGTCTTCTTTTCATCAAGTGACCTGTGTAATTGGAAAACTCAAAACCTACCATTCTCTGAACAGAGTAGAGAAACTAACTGCTCCTGGAGTGTACTGGTTGAGGGTGGGGGCTCTGAGAGATGCTGATGGATGATGTAGCCAGGAAAGAATAGATGTTCCCTTTTGTTCAACACTGATTTTCTGTAGGCCTTCTTTAGAAGAATTCATGACAGCTGCAAAAAAGATTGCCCTTTTCATCCTGTTGTTCCTATATTTTAGAGAAAAAAAAAAAAAACATAAAATTTAGATGGATTTAAAGGATCTCAATTCCTAGAAGTGACTCAAAAGGTATTTAACACCAAAAAAATGGTTGAGTGACAAGACCTTTTACACAAACTGAGAACCACCATCAACTTCATAATTGATGAGGTTTAGTTAAACTACAGATGCCCAGCAAAATGCTGGTGTCTTCCCTCTGTCAGAAGGATGTATCCTAGCTGAAACTCCTATCCCCAGTCAATGGATACAGTTGGACTTTATTTCAGATTGACAATAACGTTTCCTGGGGATGAGGGCAGAAACCAACCGCTCAGGATTGGCCCAACACCAAGTTCAACTGACCAGTTCTGCTACCCCTGGCCAGGTTAAACAATTTCCAGTGAACCTAGAAACAAAAAGGGGAAATGCAGGCTATATTGCCCAGCTTAGAAAGACAGGCACGGATCACACCTCTCAAGTCTGAAGAAACCTAGGATCTCTGTAGACTTGTCCAACATCTGTAAAATAAAAATGAGGGCTGAGATTATCCACCTCATGGTCCCAAACCCATACACTCCTAAGTCTGACTCTTCCAGAGAAACAAGTCTACACTGTCTTGGACCTGAAAGATGCATTCCTCAGCCTCCCAGTGGCAGTGGAGAGTCAACTCATATTTGCTTTCAAATGGACAGTCCCAAGGGAGGTTTCAGAGGGTAACTAACCTGGACCAGGTTGCCCCAAAGATTGAAAAATTTTCCAATCTTGTTTGATGAGACACTAAGTGCTGACCTCTCCATCAGAAGTTTCCTGGGACCATACTCATATAGATGACCCTGCCTCTAAAACTATAATAAATTATAAACAGCCACCAAGGGACCATGAGAGTTATAGGCCAGTAGCTATATAATGTCATCTCAAAGTCCTGTGTTTTACATCAGTGGACACTTGATGAGGAAAGGCAAAAGGAACCTGTCTCCTTCAGATTCCAACACCAGAGGCTAAGGCATGTCTGAGAGAGCCCTGGTGCAGCTATGTATTTCTGACTCAGGAAATCCAGAGTTTGTGGGAATTAGCAAGGCTTTTATATACCTAGACTGAAACTAAAAGGCATTTGAGGCTTTAAAACCTCAATCAGCTCTAGCCCTAGCATTCCAGACATCTTGAAACCTTTTCTTTTTCTCCATGAAACAAAAGTGGGGGGTTAATACCAAAAGTTGGGTTCATAAAAAAGCCCTATGACATACTTGTCCAAACAATTGACTCCTGCAGGCACAAAATGACCCACCTGTCTAAGAGCTGTAGCAGGAACTGTTAGTCTACTGAAAAAAAAAAAAAGCAAATGAATTAATTCTAGATCAGGATCTTATACTCAGTACCCCAAGCAGTAGAGGCCCTCCTCTGGGGAATGCCATAATGCTGGCTGTATGATGCCTGCATGGCCCAGTACCAGACCAGGTAAATTTGAAAAAATCCCCAGTCCTTGATGCTGAGACCTTCTTGCCTATGAAGATCTGGAGGTGCTTATTCATGACTATCTCAAGATGACATCCCCCTGGAAGATCTCTATGCAGTGCTCTACATGGATGGGAGCAACTTCATTAAAGATAGTTACTTTAAAGATCAATAGTTACTTTAACTGAAATGATTGGGGCCCAAGCCTTAGGGCCAGAGACCTCAGCCTAGAGAACAGAAATGATTGATCTGACCCAGGCTCAGATGCGGAAAAGAAAAGTCCACTGACATATAGACTGTTACTATATCCTTATGTGCATATCTATATTACCTAAAGAGAAAAAGGGCTTCTCCTTGTTGGGGAAAAGGACATTAAAAACAGAGAATTCTGGCCTGTCGCGACCACCTCAACCAGCAAGGAAGACGCAACACTCAGACTCTTCTTTAAGCAGTTTATTCAGGAACCTTGAACAATCTTCTTCTGCTCCTCCCAGCCCCAGCAAGCCCTTAAATATGTGCTCACTGCCCAATCAGCTCATGCCACCTGTCGATCCCAGATTGGCCACAGAAGGAGAAAGTGCACCAGATCCATCAAGCCCTTCCAAATAAGGCTTGTTTACAGCTAAGCTTGGACTACCTGGCATCCAGCCAGGCACCACCTTGGGGCTGTGGCTTCCCACAGATCCCCCTTTTTTGTTTAAAACGCAACAGGCAAGGGTAGAGGTCTGATCTCTGATGAACAAGGGACATTGTAATGGCCCCACGCCCAGTTATCAGCCAAGCTGGTGCCACACCCGTCCGGTATCTTTTCTCAGAGATGGGATTACGATACCAACCCATATGCAATCAGACTTGCCCTCCATGAAGCTGCTAGAAGCTGGCCTCAAGTGCAGTACTACATCTCGCATCCCGAGAGTGATGACTGCTTAGCCTTTTAACACAGTTAACCAAGCCTGAGGTGATTGCCCTGCCTCCAGGGCTGCGAAGGCTTGTGCAATCATGGCATTACTTCTCTGCTGTGTAACCCTCATCCTGCAGATACACCATAAGGCAATGAGACTGACTAGGATAAGCACCCCTCCCAGGGCACCCATTCCCGCCCATTCTTCCAGGTGGTTCATGGCTTGAGTGATCCATGTAGATAGTCCCTCTGCAACCAAGATGTTGACCCGGGTGGAATTCACATGCACGATGTAAAGTTTCAGGTCCTGCATTAAGTTATCGAATTCACCAGACCAATTGCCTAAAAGATACTGAGAAAGCTGGTTAGGCATATTGGCAGCCACTGAATACTTTTGATATGGCACAAAGGTCATACATAGCCTTGTCATCTTCCACTCACATCTTATTTGTGCCAACTGCCACAAAGTGTCAATCTGTTCCTGAAGTAGATCAATTCGTTGATTCAGGACCATAATACCACCTTTTAATTGAGTATTAAGGGAAGATTGTACGTCCAAAGCAGTGGCTACATTCGCTGACAGGTTATTTAAGGCAGCTGCAGTCTGGACAGTGGAATGCATGGCAATGGCAGCTGTGGTGGCTCCCACAGCTCCAGCTGTAATGGCAATCACGATAGCAGCAGTGATTCCAAATCTCTCCTCTGTCTAAAGAGGGTCATGGTGCTTGGGCTCTCTACTGGAACGGGAATGTACCTGGGCATTCTGGTCACAAGGGCCAAAGGAAATTTTCCTCCATCCCAACATAAAGAATAGAAGCATACTTGAGGTGTACAATTTAGCATTCTCACTAGAGCTTGCAAAGGTGCTATTGCTAATCACAAACACAAAAGGATTAGAGGCTCCACGTTGAGCTGGGTTTTGATTACAATAAGGAGCCCACCTGGGTTGTGGGAGAATAGTCGAGTTACCCCTCTCCCAGGCTCTAGGCCATCAACCTCTAATCCAGGTGGCATTATTTTTCAAAATGGTTTCACCACGTGGCAATTAAGAGCTTCCACCTGTGCTATTGCAAAAGCAGCAGTTATTTCAGGGGGTCTGGCTTGCTCAAACCACATTAGTCTGGAAGGAATCCTACAGCTTGTCTTAGAACTGTCTGTAAATACATTTGGAGCCATTGAAATAGGCTAAGACGATGTTACCTTGGGAAATATTACAGGGTGTTCCTTAAAAAATCCCAATAATGGATGCTTAGGGTAATGATTATCTATCTCCTCATCAAATCCACACTGCAAAATGGCCCAATCATCTACTGTGGCACA